TTTTTTTTTTTTTTAAATAAGTAATTAAACCCAGGCCCAGAACTTGTAGGATTTGAAATCTGTCCCCAGCTGTATGACCATGGGCAACTTTGGGGCACCCTTGGTGCCTGAGTTTCCCCATCTGAATGACAAGTATAACACTCTCTCCTTTTTGCATTCTGACTTGGAAATATAGGGCCTTTGTACATGCAACAAAATTGGCCTTTAAAGGGGCTTAAGTGGCCTTTTGTATTGCCTTAATAGCATTGATATTTACACGCTTGGCAGCGTATTACACTATAAATGACTGGAACATAACAAGGTAAAACCCAGCCAAGGTATTTGAGTTTGATACCTAACAAAGTGCAATGGTGCATAGGGTGCTGGAAGCCGATGTGTTTGGGGAAGCTCAGGCTTGGTGGGCTTCTACTTCCCCATCCCCACCGCTTTCTCCTACCACCAGCATACCCAACTCCCCTCTTGCCGCTCAGCCCCAGGGGCAAGCCAGCTGTTTCCAGACCGAGAAGGTGGTGGGGATGGTGCATAAGGTACTGGAGCTTATCTGCCTCTCCTGGGGGTGGGAGGGCAAGCTCTCCTGGTGCTTCTGTCTGTGGTGGCAGCACACCCCAGGCTGCACCTGCCTGCTGGCACCTGGCCCAGGTGGTCCTAGGGGGCCACCGCCACTGCAGAGGGAAGCACTAGGCCCTGTGCAGCTGAAGCAGGCAGGCAGCTTGGGGGTGGGGCAAGCTGCTAATAGGCTGAGTGGTCCCAGAGCTGCAAGGGACCCTGGTGCTTTCCTTTGTGGTGGCACCCCTGCCCCCCCCCAGGTAACACCTGGCCTGGGTGCCAGTGGTGCCTCTCAGGTGGCACCTGCCCCTCCCCCCAAAGTCAAGCCTGCCTGCATGAGCTGCCACTAGGTCCTACAGCCCCCAAGCTACGTGGGGCTTGGTACTTCCCTCAGGTGGCACCACTCCCTAGAACCGCCTGGGGCAGGTGCCACCTGGGGGGTGCCACTGCGCAGGGAAGGTCTGGGATGCCCCACAGCTTAGGGACTGCTCGGCCACCAGCAGCTTGCTTGCCCCCCAATCCCCTGCTGCAGGAGGCAGGTGGGGAAAGGATCAGGCCCCCTCATCCTTGTACATGCATTGTGGGTTTAGTTCTCCCTAAACTGAAATGGTGAATTTAAAAAAAAACCAAAAAAAAAACCCCACCATTTCAATTTAGGGAGAACTAAACCCCAGTTGCACATGTACAAGCACCCATAGGTGTTAAATTCTTCAGGCGTGATCTGTCCCTCATTACACGAGTCATTAACAGTGTGGCTCTGATCTTTGTTGGTATCCAAATACCTTTTCATTTGTTAAATACCTGCAAAACCATTCATCATCAGTGCAAACCCATTCTTTCAACAGTAGGGCCTTGTGCTGTCTGTCCCATCTTTTGCCTGGCTGGGCACCCATAGCTCTCATGCTGTTTTTCTTCCTGTGTGCCTGAAGAGGGATCCACAGCAGCAGCAAGCTAGCAGCATCTCTCCCCCACACAGCCAGACCTCCTGTCACACATGCAGGCAGTAGCTCTCAGTGACTTTCAGAGCGGCTGTGTTTAGAGCTGCGCAGCAATCTCACATCTAATTCTGCATTCGCCCATTTTCTCAAGGTACAAGGGCTGTCGTATCTCCTTTGCAGGCATTGCCTTGGGCCGTGATAAAGTAAGAGAGGCAAATTAAAAGGACTCCGGTCTGCAGGATGCCAAGCGGGCCATGGCTGCTATCCTGCTACATTCCACCACTGAAACCTTTCCAGGATCGTTTCTGAGGTAACTTCTTTTTTGTCCTCTCATCAGAGGTTCACACTTCCCCCATGGATCACTAAGGAAGCTGGGTTTTATTTAACAGGAAGAAATTCCCCAACAGACGGCAACACTGCCAACCACCAGTTCCTAGTTAGCACATGTGTTGTTTCACACGGAAGAACTGTCCGGGTACATGGAGCACTTTCACTTCATCAGTACTAGAGAAACGCGTGAATTTATTTGTGGAGAGACAGTATTCCCTTTTTATCCCCTCCCCTCCTTCGGCTCCTTGCTCTGGAAGTTGTTCCAGAAGATGGCAGTGGGTTATAGTGAGAGACAAGCCCATCTAGTACCTAGTTAAGCCAGTAGTTCTCCTACCGTAGATACTCTCTCTCTAAATGCAGGATGCTGGCTTTGATTTGTTCCCTTTTCAGTTCCCCCTGCTCCATCCATGATCTCCTCTGCCCTAGCCTCGCAGTGTCCATCTGCCACTTCTGCCTGTTGCCAAGACTGCTTTAAGTGCAGTATTTGTGCCCAGATCGTGCACAGGTCCACTAGCCCTCAGAAGAGGGTCAAGCTGTTGCTTTTAACTTTACCAACCAAGCGGCATCAGCTAACAGGCTGTCCCTACAAGAGCTAGTCCTCTTTTGTGAAGTCAGCCATCCTGGTTCTTTGTGTGTTACATATCCCATGATGCTTTAACCCTGCATTAAAGATGGACCAGTTTAGCTGCATCTGGAGCCTCTGTTGGAGCACAGAGATTTGAGTAGGCACAGCTCCCTTATAGCCAGCAGTCAGGTTCGGGGAGCTGAGATGAACAAGCAGGTGGTTTCCAAGATAGCAAGATTCAAAATTTAAAGCCTCCCTTAGAAAAAGCAAGAGACCTTAAATGCCACCTTAAAAAAAAGAGTCCAGGAAAGTGCCCGTCTCTGTGTGTGTAATGAAGCAAAAATCCTAGCCCCATCTACCAGAGCTGCAGCTAGAGGAACAGTGGTTTCATTTACAAGATATTAAAAATTCATTAGAGGGTTAAGGGAGATTTTTTCTAGGACTCTCTCAAGCCAACTAGTAACCTGCCCTGCTCCCCTCAAAAACAACAAAACAAAAAACTTACATCCTTTTTCGACTCCTGAGCTAGGTAGTTTTGTACCCTCAGGACTCTAGTACTCATCTTCTTTTTAGTTGGGAAGTTAAGTTGCTAGCCTTGCTCACTGTAACCCAGCATCTCCTGAGGGAATTTACATTTTGTATTACCTACATAGAGGCTAGTTCAGTGAAGAAAGCTATCACTTCCTGCCCTAACCTGGACTATGATGTCCACTATTCTTAAGGAATGACAAAAGCTCTGGCTATTTCAGAACTCATGGTAAATGTTGAGTTTGGAAGTGTTGCCTAGCTTAAAGCAGCAGCTTGCAGTTCAGTCAGGCCATCAGGTAGTAAGAGTCTCTGAAGTCTGCTATTTGTTAAATTATTAAACAAAAAAACACTCCCTCCCCCAAGGCTGTTATATTTGCTCCCACTGCCTAGCACCTTAAAATTGAAGGGATTGGTAGTGTTTTAAGTATATTCTCAACATCCCTACAGTTACTACTTCCTTTTTTCTGCGTAAAGGAGAGAAAGTAGAATATAATCTCTGAAGGAGACTCTTACACACTTGCTTGTTTAGTATCTCTAGATAGCCTTCCCCCATTGCCAGTGTTTGAAGGTCTGGAAGTATAGTCTTAGTAAAGCAGATGCATCTTTTTATAAAAGTTACTGCATAAATCACTATAACAATTCCATGCACACGTAGGTGTAGTGTTACTCCTCAAACTCACCTGATTTAGCCTTCCTGTGCTGTTTATTGCTTAGTATCCCAGTACTGAACTATCATTCTACAAAGCATTGTTTTGTCAGGATCTCACTCTCTGCCCTCTTCTAATTTAAGCCTCTTGCATGGTAGAATTTATGGAGTTTCTAATTAAATTACTTTGAATAGCATCTCCTATTACAGCCAAATCAAAGTGGAGGTTCAAGTGACAGTAGTGCTTTATTTAGTAAACAAAGTTACTCAGAGCCATTATAATCAATCTGACAAACCTCCAGTAATGCATTACTATATAGACAACTATAGACCAAAATTAGTGTTTGCCCAAACACAGCATCCCTACAGTTCAGTACAGTACAGTACAGTAATTTAGCTTTAAGTACTAGCCTCTTTGCATGCTGCAAACGCACACTGATGTGTGTCATAGGTTGTACTCTGCAAACAGAGTAGGTGCTAAAAACTCTGATAATGGAAGTAGAAACTCTTCTGGTGCATTCATCATAGCTTTGCTTTACAATGCAGAATCATAGGTGTTGAGGCAGAACCACAGCTACAGGCTCTGGCTCACTTAGTTGAGTATCATAACAAATAGACACCAAGGCAGGAATACAGTGTCTTTTGTTACTAGCAGCCCAAGGCAAAATAATAGCAGAGGAAGATGTCTCCAGAGAGAGGGCATCTGTTTTCACAAATCCCAGTGATCTTGGCTCTTCAGCACTCGCATCAAGGGACAGAATATTGTCCAGAGGGGCTTGTATCTCAGATATTTCCAGTATAGGTGGGGGTGGCCTCCTGATATTTGATAAATCAATTACGGTCTCTGAGCTCTTGGAGAGCAAGTTCTCCATTGATTGGAGGCACTTCTCTTCCCTGCATGGCGTAGAGGACTTGGCATCACAATATATATCCACAGTGTAATCGACTCTGCTGTATTCAGAAACCAGACTGGACAAGTCAAAAGCAACATGACCACCAGGGGTCTTGCAGAAGGAAGCAAGGCCACCATCACAAATGCCTTGGATCTGACTGTGCAATTCACCCTTCATACTGCTGATCAGAGAGGACTCGGGTCTTGTCAAAGTATGCTGAGGACTGCCTTTTATCATCATCATGCTTTCCAAGTCGAGACCATTCCAACTATCTGGCTTAGAGGTACTGTTAGTTTCTGTGTAGTTATTAACTGGAGATGAGTAGGTATAGCTGGAGACACCTGCCACAAATCCAAGTTCCATGATTTCCTTTAGTGTCATAATACTGGCATTGCTTCTGTGGATGGATGACATTGTAGAGCCTTCCAAGAGTCAGTCACTCTTCTAAAATCCTAATTGCATCCAACAGAGAGACACCTTGTAAGCAGAGGAAGCCCCAAGAAATATGTTACTGTCAATTAAAGCTTGAGAAAGGAGCAGATTAGAAACTTGAGGTTTTAAGTGCACTGGTACAGGGATGTGGAAGTTGGCCTTTTTACTAATATGGAGGCACTTATACCAGCCTGAGAGAGCTTTTATCAGAAGAGCTTGTTCTGGTTTGGGAATTGGAAGAAACCACCCAGTGCCCCAAACACAGGCAAACCTAATACAAGTTGCCTTCATACCAATATAGTTAGATTGGTTAAAAAACCTACTCCCTCAGCTAGCACTTGCAAAGATTTCTACCAGTGTATGAACCAGACCTTGTGCCATTTCTCTTTACAGGGGTGTAGGTTGTAGCTGTGTTGGTCTAAGGACATGGGCAGACAAGGTTCTTTGGGTGAATCGGGTATCTTTTATCAGACCAATCTAAATAGTTGGAAAAAAACCTCCCCTCTTTACACATTTCTCTTTACATGCACCTTCTCTAACCTTGTAGCTTAAATTTGATACAAACTAGAAGTTATTCTGTGGGTCTGTAGTTCAATTTTACATCTCACTTACATCTCACTCAGCATGATTGTTTTGAAATTGAGCTGTGCAGCCAATACTGAAAATATTGGCCAAATACCATCTGACAAGGTGCCAAGACTGCCTGAGTGGTTGTCCTGGGAGTCAGTCAGACAAATGATTACCTTGAGTATCATATTTAGCTTTCATCTTTACAATGGCTGGAAGAGTTCAAGGGATTGCAGGAGGCTAAATCAGAGCTCTCTGTCCATACTAATCAAAGACTCACACAAATGATGCTGCAGAAGCAGCCTAGGAAGTTTAAGCTCATTAGTGCATTGGAAGCTTGTTTATAGCACAACTGATTTGTAAGGCAGCCCCTTTTTGGGACTCGATTCAGAAGCATCAACTGTAGTTTGAGACTCCAGTTCATACTTTGTGTGCTAAGAACTTGTATCCTGCCTTCTGTCCACTTCAAAGGATAGCCTCCAATGGCTCCAGTCTCATCCAGACTGCAAAGACGGGTCATGCTCAACATGCCCCAGGC